TTATAAATATATTTTGCTTCGAAAAGTATTTTATATGATGTCCAAAATAAATGTCACTAATAGGAAAATATTGTTAAAAAGATTTTATATTGATAAATTAATTTCAAAATGGATACAAGCACAGCCGATTTAAACTCCGAATATTAGTTTGTGTTGGTTATATTCCATAGAAGTATATAAGAATGTGTTTTTTTACTGTTCAAGACAAAAACTATATAATTGAACTTCATGGGTTTATAAAATTGTTCAGAAATTCTGGGTATACCAGAACTAAACCATATTTTACAAGTTTTATACTTGTGTCCTCAGTAACGTTCAAATATTTAAAGCAGACAGACCAAACATCACTATATCGACAGAACTAAAGTATATCACTAACTTTTCAGAATCCTGATCTGAACGAATAAACTGAGCCATATTTTAGAAATTAAAAAAGTTAGTAATATTCAGAGATGCATAGAAATGAACACGTAGCAGCAGATGAAAAGCTAAAAATTATTTTTATATCTTTTTCGAATCTACAATAATGCAACTTTATACAAACTCATTTTCTGTATACAACCAAAAGTGAAGAGACATCCTTTAATAAAACTTAAGGGCCAATAATTTTATATTGAATTAAAAAATAATATTAAATGCGGGCACTAGAATAGTTTTAATATACCTACTATGCATAATACACAAAAAGACAATTGATGTTAAATTTACTGTAACAGAAATTGTATGAAGAATATAAATTGTAATCTGACAATAACTGGATAATAAAATAATTATACGGTTCTTCTATTATTTTTCTTAACCCTGTCCTCAAATGAAAACATATAGTTTAATATTAAATAATTTTTATAAAATTGTTCCCATGTTAATTAATAGATCAATAAAGATTGCTGTATTATTATAATTAAATTGTGCGTTCTATATAAAATTTGTATACTTTGTAACAAATTTTGCTTCTGTTAGTTAGGAAAATATAAAGCTTTCTTTTTTTAATGTGATCACCCTGAATCTCGAAGAGGGAGCATTTTTGGAAAAATATCCAATGTTAAATCTAACCCACCATATATATAACGAGCGTTCAAATAAAAACGTGGTCAAGTTGGTTCTGAAAATTTAGACGTAGGGTGTAGCGTATAGCAAATGAACTTAAACGTCATCTGTCAAAGCGCTATATCGCCGCATCAATTTGAATATTTTCATTTTAAAAAGTGTTTAAAATGGTGTTTTCTCAAGAACAAAAAGTGTTTATCATAGAGGTCCTACTTTAGAAATGGACGCAAGATTGATGGAATATGGAAGTATTCTATTGAGGATGTTTCATAGAATTTCAAAATCAATTTCCCGGCGTTGTTGAGTACAAAATTTTTCAAAGTGCAGTTCAGCGTTGTGTTAATGTTTTTCGTGAAACGGGCAGTGTAACAAGAAAAGAAGGAAGCGGCCGACCTAAAAAACGGACTGAAGAATTAAAAGAAAATGTCCAACAAATAATGGAAAATGCGCCAAGAACTTCTGTACGTGTTTTATCACAAATGGTGGGAGTATCAGTCGGTACCTGCCACACAGTGTTAAAAAAAGATTTGCGTTTGTTCTCCTATCGTTTAACTTGTCAGCAAGAACTTCATGAAGTTGATTTTCCGCGACGGGCTGTATTTTGTGAATGGTTTTTAAACAACTACGGTGAACTTCATAATATCACCTTTTTTTCTGATGAAGCCTG